TGTCTCCCGTATGGCAGTGGTTATAGCATGAAACGGGTGTTTGTGTGAACATCAACCAGGAGGAATGATGAGGTTCCTCTTACTCTCACCGGGACAGGAATGGAGAGACCTTCCTGTTTAAAAAGCCAAGTTACACCCAGCCGGTGTGGTTCCGTGGTGGAGCACTGACCTATGAACTAGGAGGTCACAGTTTGATTCCCAGTCAGAGCACATGCCCAGGTTGTGTTCTCATCATTGTGGTTCCTCTATCTCTCTCCTTCTCCCTTCTTCTCTGAAATGAATCACAACATATTTTCAAAGTCAAGTTAACACGTACTGCCAGGAGATATGTTCTGAGAGGGAGAAGCTCAGTCCATCACGGTGGCAGGTGCCCCAAACACGGGACCGTGGGTGCCATTCTCCCTCCAGCCTCACGGTTTCTGGCGCTTTCCGGAAGCAGAGGCCCAAAGGGTAAGAACCCATTCGGGCAGTCACCATGTTTATTCTAACCATGATATGCTTGCATGCTCCCTTCGCCCTGCCTCCTGCAGCAGCACCATGCCCTGCTCATTCTCTAACTTGTCTGCATTTTGTGCCTTAGACGTTTTTACTGAGGACCCTCTCCAGGGCTCTTTAAGGCACGCAGGGAGGGGATGTCCTGGGCTCATGGGTCCGAGTGGCACCTGGTGCCGTGGGTGATGCATTTCTGTAGCATAAATTGCACCTGTCCTTTGCTTATGGTGGACCTTGGACGTCATTCATACGGAAAACAAGCGGTAAGAATCTGCTTGTTTGCTAAGCCCCAGAAACACAGGGAAATGCATATGCAGAGGTTTACTGATAGTGAGGTTTCCATGGCAACAGGCAGGAGCTCATAATATTTATATCCATCTATTCCTCTGCTCCAGTGTATTTTAGGGTATGGTGTTAAAAGGTCACAATAATACACATCCCCTCCCTTTTTTTTTCTTTTTCTTAAATCACTTTATATTAGGCTGATTTTTTTTCTTGGCTAAATGTTTTTAAAGCCTTCATAAAAATTACCAGGAAGTCATTATTAAAAATGTAACTTTTTAAATTATTCCTCATTCGTTGTAAATCACATAGTTTTATTTGTGAAAGTTTTAAAATTCCTGTGAGTCTGACCCAGGGTTAAAGTTCGGGGGAAATGCACGTGTTTCTTTGAATCCCACACTCACGTTCGGTAGGAGGGGCTTTCTTCGCTCTTTAAGTCATCCCTTGAAGAGCTACTCAGCAGAAAATAGAAGTCAGCCACGCGAGGGAAGTGGCCTCCACTAGGGCCAGCCTCCCGCCAACGTCAATAATAAGCTATTTGTAAACAAGGGTAAGGAGTCCATATTTGATGCTGTTTTCTTATAGAGTTAGGAGGGTCCTTGCTTTGCTAGTTTATTTTTACTTTTCATATTCCTGTGACAGGTAAAAGCAAGGGTACAATGCAACAACAGATACTCGACGTTAAAATCACGTGTCTTAAAGGCAGCTGTCCCATGAAATGTATAAAAGGTCCCTGAGACGGATACACTCAGCCAAACCCCAGAGTGCAAAGATCTGGAGCTTTTTAAACTCATTTTGTGCGTGGAATTCAGCCAGAATCGCTGAGCAACTTCTCTGCTAATTGCAGGGCAAGCGCAGACACGCTGAGGTTCCCTGGGGGTGCGAGCGCCCGTCAAACGCAAGAGGCCACGTTAGATAGAAGGAGCTGAAGCGTAAGGCGAGGGGACGTGGCAGGAGGTGAGGGGCACAGGTGGCAGGTGAGAGCCTGCTGACCCTGCTGAGCACCAGTGTGTCCTCCCTGTTCCCTCCTCTCCCTCCCCCCTCTGCAGGCTGCTCACTTAGGTGCAGGAGAACCTGCATTCACATAAGAGGCAGCATCTCCCAGGATCTGAGACGTTTGCACAGAATCCCACGGAGGGTTTTAGTAAGAGACTCAGAGGCCGGCTGTCTGCCCCTGCTTCCTGGCAGCCACGTTTTTTGAGGCTGTTAAAAAAACGTTTAAAAAAGTGTTCCCGACCATAATTAAGGTGCCTGCACTGAGGCCCTGTGATCTGTTCCCAGGCTCTGAACCTTGTCCTCTGAGGAGAGCGCTTCAGGGCCTGGTTGGCGCGTGGCTGTGTCGGAGCGGAAGGCTCCGGGGTGTGTTCGCGGAAGCCATCATTAGGGCTCCCGGCCTGCACCCCCAGCTCCACGGGGAGGCTATGAAATAGCAGGTTCTGTGGGTCTGAAAGCCCAGCTGTGTTGGGTCTGGCGGGTTTTGTCTAGGAACAGCAGCGTTTCCCAGGCCCCTTTAGAACCAAACTGGCTTTTAAACTGCGGCTTTCACGCAGGTGCTCGGAGTTGTCCCAACCCTCTGGTGCTCCTGGAGGCCTTTGTTTCAAGGAGAAGGAGCGTGGCTCAGTGTTGAACGAATGTCAACCTATGAACCAGGAGGTCATGGTTCGATTCCCGGTCAGGGCACATGTCTGGGTTGGGGGCTCCATCCCCAGTGTGGGGTGTGCAGGAGGCAGCTGATCAAGGATTCTGTCATCATTGATGTTTCTGTCTCTCGTTCCCTCTCCCCTCCTCTATGAAAAAAAAATTTAAATAATAAAAAACATTACTGATGCAGCCTGGTGCACAGATAGTCATCCACATTTGCAATGAGACTTTTAGGCGGTAATGAGGCTGGGGCCCTGGACCACAGCCTGGTGACATCAACTAAGAATCCAGGGCATTCTGTTTTATAAGAACAAGTCCACGGTTGTCAGTGCTGTTCCGGGAGCAGAGCCGTGGGAAGCATGTCAAAGCCGTCACTGTCCTTGCTGTGTGGATGCCTGTAGATGTGTGTAGATGCGTGTGGATGTGTGTGCTCCATGAACCGGCCACATTGAGCCCCACAGACAATGCCCGTCCTCACAGGCTGTAGAGGCAGCACCAGCGCAGCATCCTGAGCAGTGGTCACCCCTGTGCCCAGCAGGACTAGTGCTTCCGGGAAAGAGGTTCCTACCTTCCAGGGAGAGGAGACGTGATTGTTCTAGAACTAAATCAGTGAGTGAAGACTCCCTTCCACCGTGTGACGTTAAATAGCTGCGGGAACAGGAATTGGGTAGGAGAGCCGAAGGCTGATACCCACGGGAGGTCAGAAAGGCCCCATTGGTTATTGTCCACGTGTGGGCTCATCCTGGTATACCGCCCCTCTCCCTACCCCAGCCCTGCCCCCACTTAGCATGGACCCATCGGATGGTGCCGTTTGGCAGTGCTAACGGAGCTGTGTGCTGTGATAATATTGCACGTGACTCACACGTTTGAGCGGACATGATGCTCGGTTATCCTAACACTTCAGGCGGGGACCTCTGATTGGGGTCAGTCCAGATCATGCTCTGGCTCCTTTTATCGCCGTGTATCTGTGAGCTTCGCTGATTTGCTTCACTCCGTGCTTGTCCTAGCAATGTAATAGTCACCCAGGGCTAATGAAATGAAGCACTTCTCTCCCTCCCTTGGATGCACTGATTAATGTTTTATTAACCCTCACCTGAGGATATTTCTTTCATTGCTTTTAAGAGAGAGCGGGAGGGAGGGAAAAAGAGAGAGAGAAAACATGGAGGTGAGAGAGACACATTGACTGGTTGCCTCCCGCATGCACCCTGACCGGGGCTGGGGAACAAACTGCAACCCAGGTGCATGCCCTGGACTGGCAATCGAACCCACAGCCCTTTGGTGCCCAGGCGGATGCTCTAGCCACTGGGATTCACATCCAGGGCTGATGCACGGACTTAAAGTGCGTAGGACAGTCACATGTATGCAATTTGTAGTTTCATAAATTCAAAGATAATTACTTTGCCTTTTTACATTTTTCAAGGCAGAGTTGAAATTTCCTGAGTTTCCTAAAGTGACCAGATATTTAACAATTTTTAACAATTTGTCCCGCCTCCCACCTCCTGCATCCCGCGTCCCGAGGTGTTCCGAGGCGTCCCGCGTCCTGCGTCCCGCCAAAAGCGGGATGTCTGGTCACCTTAGATTTCCCCCCTCCAATACACACACTGCCCCTTTGCATGGTCACCGCGTGGGCGGTCTGCGTCCACCGTCAGGCGCCGTGAAATGGTGTATTTTCCCACAAACGCACAGTGCCTCTCCTGGGTACAGAGTGGGACACCATTGGCTGCCTGTGGAAGCCCCCTCCTGTTTAGTCAGACGTTCAAGAATGGACAAATTGTTTTCCTTCCCTTCCCCAGAGAGGCCTCCGCGTTGTTCAAAATAAAACCGGTAGGATTGTCTCCATGCCGTTAAAGCTGGAGGGTGTGAGTGGGGACTTGCTGTCCTGATTGCTCTTAGAGGAAACTCAGTGTCTTAAAAATAGCCTACGAAGGCGATCCAAATAGCACTGCCTCGGTGGCTTCATGACCCACCGGAAGGACATTCCTTGGGCAATAATCAAGACGGCTTCTGTTTATTCAGAGCTGCGAGCCAAGAGGACAATGCGAGGTGATCCGCTGCTCTCCTGCCAGCTCCCCCCACTGGGTCACGGCCCGGGAACCACCTGCACAGCATTCTCCAAGGCGTGGGACCGATAGGACTCCTCAATCCCACGATAGGACTAGGGGTATTTTCAACTCTGTATATAAAGAGCAAAACCGATCACAGGTGGACTAAATGTGTCTGTGCTGCTGCTGATAACCTGTCTCAGCGGGAGAACGTGTGATGAGTTGCCTTCGACGAAGTTGGTTTAGGAGAAGCTAAACGTGGCTGTGATTTGGTGAATCGCCGTGACGGGTGTGGGTGCCGGGCCATGCAGATATTCGGCTGAAGCTGTTTCGTCTCCTCCTCTGGGTCCCCTTTCCCGGTTATTGAACGCTCACGCCCTCGGGGGCAGCCCTGCTCTGACGCTGTCATAGACACCCAGGATGGGTGGGTTGGTGTTGGTGGCGAATGTCACCCTTCGGAAGGAAGGAAGGAAGCAGCGTCACTGCGCAGACATTTCGCCATCGTTCTTTCTGAGATGCTGTTTCATTTTGTTTCCCAATCAGATCTCGAGAACTTCAAAACCACGATGCGGAGTGCGGTGTCGGTGCGGGAAGGCCAGGGCGTGGTGCTGCTGTGCGGGCCCCCGCCTCACGCTGGAGGTAAGACACGCCCGCGCCCGCGCCCGCTCTTTACCGGGTACCTTTCTGGGCAAGGCCCGCCGCCTGGGTGCCGTTACCGTGTCCACAAATGAGCGGCAACCATGTCAACAAATGAGCAGGCTTGTGCCCTGGCCGAAAACCAAACCGTGACCTCCTGGTTCCTAGGTCGACGCTCAACCACGGAGCCACGTCGGCTGGACCTTTCTCTTTTCTTTATTTATTCATCCATCATTTTATTCATTCATTGATTGACTCGTCCAATGCCTGCTGATGTGTGGAAGAGGCTTCGTGTGTGTTACTAAACATGGCCCTTTACTGACCTAATCTCAGCACTGAGTTGAGGAGACACTGAGCTTTGCTGATACACTGGATGGACGTGTGTGTGTGTGTGGGTATTGGTTGGTGTGCCGCCCCCACCCCCCACCCCCTGGCACTCCCAGTGGCATCACAGAGCTGGCGTGCAGGACATGGACACGTAGAAGGAATCCCGCCCCCAGGGCCGAGTGGCCCCCAGGCCGTGGAGAGGTGTGTTTGCTGGGACAGGGAGCCCCGTCGTGACGGAGTCTGTGCCGGTTGTCAGCCAGACGCTGGGTTTGGGCTCCCAGCACCCTGGACAGGGTGTGGCTGGCATTCTGCGTCGGCAGGCCGAGGCTCAGAGCAGGTGAGTGACTTGTCCAGAGCCACACAGCAGTGTCTCCTCCCAGCGGGTTCCCACATTTCGCAGGTGCAGCTGGTCATCGCCATGACAAAGCAGATCTGTGGGTTTTTCAAGAAAGCCGGAGACTGAGCTCTAGCTGGTTTGGCTCCGTGGATAGAGCGTCGGCCTGCGGACTGAGGGGTCCCAGGTTTGATTCCTGTCAGGGGCACATGCCTGGGTTGTGTGCTCAATCCCTGGTAGGGGGCGTGCAGGAGGTGGCCGATTGGTGATCCTCTCTTATCATTGGTGATCCTCTCTTATCATTGATGTTTCTGTCTCTCTCTCTCCCTCTCCCTTCCTCTCTGAAATCAGTGAAAGAATATATTTAAAAAGATGGAAACTGTAGCTTGCTACCTTTCCCAGATGACGGAACAGTAGCAGTGTGGGTCAGCACCATGAGGCTTGAGGTACCTCCGGCCTGCGGGCCTCAGCTGGGCATCTCTTCAAGGACATTCCATTGATGCTCATTTTTTCCTAAAGCCTCCTTCCCCCAACTATAATAGCTGAAGTAACGCAGGCCCGGAGAGAGCAGAAGGTACGGCTGACAGCCTTTAACATGGCACGTGCGTTAGGTGCGGGAGGACGCCATTCCAAACCAGACTAATTAGAGCCGCTAATGAGGGCTCTGGAGGCCGCGGCGCTTGGAGGGAGCGTCTCAGACCCTGAGGAGACAGATTCACGTTTTCCCTGAGCAACTGCGCGTCCTCCCCTCGCAGCCTCTTTGCATCGTCACCTTGTTTAGCAGATTGCTACGGCCCCAAAGTCCCGATAAGTCTGTCTACTAAACAGGAAAACGCCACGGGGTCTAACGTGTGAGGTTCTGTCATACGTAAGTGCACACTCTGTCCTTCTTCTAGACCGGATTCTCTCGTAGCTGGGAAAATCACGGGGACGCATCGTGTTGTTTCTGCCTCCTGTGAGTGTAAGGTTAGGTCTTACGTGCGGTTGGGTGTGGTTTCCCACGTTATTTTTTTTGGGGGGGAGAGGGGCGCTCGACAGCTTTTCCACGTGGATGAGAGTGGCTGTTTTCTGTGGCATCTCGGCTCCTGGGAGTTTTTATAGGAGCTTCTGCTGTGGGTCGCAGGGGCATCCTGAATATTTCAGTCAAGTTGGTCTGTTTCCAGGTCTTGCACGTGATCAGGGACAGATTTCTTGAACCAATTTAAAGGCATTGGGACAACTAGCAACCGCGACATGAGGACTCTGATAAGGCATCCTGGTGGGGACAGACCTGGGGCGCCCTGGCACACAAGAGCCCTCGAACCCGAGTCACAGCAGCCTCTTGGAAGCCTGCGCAGTCCGTCAGCAAAAGGACCCAAGAACCTTCGCCTGCGGGGCTGAGGGGGTGGTAGAGCGGACCATGTGTGGACGATGGCTCTCAGTCCTGGTCCTGGCGCCATCCCCGTCTCCCTTCTCCAGCACCGGCCCAGCCAGGGCCTCCTGGGCCGGGAGGCGGCTTCGCTGGCAGAGGGAGGGGCGGCGGCTCTGTGGAAAGGCCTGAAACCAGGCGGGCATGGGCCTCCAGGCACGGAGCTGTCCGGACCCTCCCACAGAGCTGCCTGCCAATCCCATGAGGAGAGGCAGGACTTGTCAGCACGCCACGGACAGAGGTCACCGTGCTGCACATTGCCCAGCGCTGGCCCCGGGGCGCACGGGTGAGACCTCCCCCGCCTCTGCAGGTCAGAGAGGCGTGCAGAGGAGTCCATACTGCACACAGGCCTCACACCTCCTCCCCGGCCCCTCCGAGGACACAGCGCCTCCCCCTGCACGCACCGGTCCCTGCCTCCGAGCTCCTGTGCTGCTTTTCACATTCAGCACAGCCCCGGACGGACGGGGAGGTAATCCCCGGGCGAGACCTTTGCCGCTCGAGCCTTTTATGAAAGGCTGACAGCGCGTGTTCTGTGCAGTTCGGCTCTCCTGGCCTTAAGCACTCCTTAGATCAGATTTTCAAAAGTGCGTCCGGAATATTCCGGTGTTAAACCCGGGGATTTAGGGAACACGCTTCGGGAGGCCAGCGGGGAGCATGTTTCCTCTGAAGGCGCTGGCCTGCGGCGGCTGCCTCCCCGGCCCAGCAGGGTTGCTCTGGCTCCTGGGCGACCTTCGGCCTCCTCCCCGGAGGGTGAGCCGGCAGCAGCGGGAAGCAGGTGATGTTCGGGGTCATTCTGGCTCCGTTGGACACGCCCGGTCACCGGGAGGTTCACCAGAGACGTGCTTGTTACTCACAACCACCAGCCGCCGTGGGGGACTTACTGTGCGCACGTCACCTCTGATACACTTCCCTTTGCATGCAGGCAGGGGCGTGGCCCCTTTATATGCCAACAAGGTGTTCTACCTGCATACCCCGAGAGACCTTTGCATGGATGCAACGTTGTGTGATGTTCTGCCATATTTATTTCCCAGGATATCCCAAACTTGTTTTTAAAAATATACGTATTTTATTGATTTTTTACAAAGAGGAAGAGAGAGGGACATAGAGTTACAAACATGGATGGGAGAGAATCATCAATCAACTGCCTCTTGCACACCCCCCTCTGAGGATGTGCCCGCAACCAAGATACATGCCCCCGACCGGAATTGAACCCGGGACCTTTCAGTCCACAGGCTGACGCTCTATCCATTGAGCCAAACCGGTTTCGGCTAAACTTGCTTTTTAAGAAGGTTCTGGGGGGTGGGGGAGAAGAAATGCAAGACAAAGCACTCATCATGTTATATGGGCACACGTGGCACCCCACAATAATCACAACAGTAACGTCAAAGATCGCCAATCACCGTAACACACGGGAGAATCATGAACGTGTTTGCAACGTGGCAAGCGTCGTCGGCGTGTGACACAGACACGCAGAGAGCCGACGCCATAGGAGAGGAGTGCGGATGGACGAGCTGACGGGCGTCACCTCTCATTTTCCTTCTGTAAAAGTCGAGGTGTCTGCGAAGCCCCAGGAAACAGGCTGAGCCCTTGTTCCCTGGTTCTTCGCCGCTCCCACGCTCCTCTCCGCTTCCGCCTGTGCGTTACCGAGAAACAGCACAGGCTCCGGCTTCAGGCTGGACCTTCACGTCCAGCTGCTCAGAGCGGGGCTTCCATTCGCCTTCGCTTCCTTCTCCACAAGACACTGTGCTGCAGGCAGAGCGGAGCTGTCATCTCAGGCCCAAAAAGAATTAATAAGTACACGCTCGCCCCGAAAGGCTCCTCTGGATCTTTCCGTGATTGCTTTCTTCCTCTGGCAGCGACGGGATAATTACCAGCAATCCTGGAGCTGTTACCTTTTAGCTATTTATTCTCCGTGCCGGCGAACTCGAGTCCGAGGAGTTTCTTTTCCTTTTGACAAAATTATCGGCTTGCTGAGGGAGAAAAACAGCCTCCGTGACAGAAAAACAAGAAGGTGCTTGTTTCTCAAGCTCATTATCATTTGAGTGCCATCCCTGTTTTCATCCTGTCATACTTTAATCATTTGCAGGGCAAGTTTCCCATTCATACAACTTATTTTGCCCAAAAAGAAAAAAAATTATCATTCCAATAAAATACTTCATTCTTCTAAAAGCACATCAGAACCATCCCATTAAAAGAAAAAAATTATCATTCCAATATAATACTTCATTCTTCTAAAAGCACATCAGAACCATCCCATTAAAAAAAAAAAAATGAAATCCAGATGGGAATTATCCAACATTTGCATATTATTTGGGAAACATTGATAACTGCGACATTGGGACCTCACCCTTGGAAATGTGTTATCTTCAGCATCCAAATCACAGCATCCTGCAGCAGATTGCTCTTTGTAGCCCTGCCCATGTGGCTCAGTGGTTAGAGTGTCAGCCTGTGCACTGAAGGATTTGGGGTTTGATTTCCGGTCAAGGTGCATACCTGGGTTGCAGATTTCACCTTTGGTCCCCTGTTGGGCATGTACTGGAGGAAACCAGTCCATGAGTCTCTCTCACATCCACGTCTCTCTCTCTCTCTCTCTCTCTCTCTTTCTCTCTCTCTCTCTCTCTCCCCCTCCATCCCTCCCTCTCTCCCAACCCCCTTCTTGTTATGTAAATGGCACATACCTTTTTCTGCATAGATGGCTGCACACAGGGAGCGCAAGTGTGTTCTTATTTGGAAATCTGAGGTACAGAGAGTCCTTCTTTGCTCTGATCGCGTAGCCAAAATGAAACATGGATCCCCATACAGACACAGATATGAATGCTGGGTTGAGGTGTCCCTGGGTGTGCAAATCAACCCTTCCGACGCTATCGCTGTCGTTACTGCTGGGATCTCAGGAAAGGTCCCCAGAGGCGAAGGGTCCACACACCCCTGAGTGAC